GGATTGAACTCAGACCCTTGCTTATTCTACTCAGCCATCTCCCCAGCCCCAAAAAGGGCCATTATCCATTAATACATCATGTCCAAAAAACACAGGTCTACGCTAGGTGTGTTGGCATACACCTGTAATCCCAGTATTTGGGAGGATGAAGCAGGAATATCACAGTTCAAGGCCAGCCTGGGCTACAAAATGACTTCAAGATCAGCCTAGAATCATGGAACAGGAGTCATCTTAAAACAAAAACAAAACAATACAGCCCTAGGCAACCTTGTGTTGTTTCTATTAATTTTTATATTCTAGACATTTCATATAATAATTTCTTGTAGTTTTGATGTCTAGTTCACTGATGGTTAATGATGTTGAAATTTTCATGTGCTTATTTTGGAAAAATGTCTACTTAGATCCTTTGCCCATTTTAATTGGGTTATTTGTTCTTATTGAGTTTTAAGAGTTTTCACAGATAGTTCTTTATCAGCCATATGATTTGCAAATATTTTCTTCAAATTTTATTTGCAAATATTTCTCAAGAATATTTGAGATATCTTTTCATGTTTTGAAGGTATCTAGGAAGCACAGTAGTATTTAAGTCCAATTAATCCGTTTGACTGCTTGTGCACTGTTATATCTAGAATTACTGCCTAATTTAATCATGAAAACTTAACACCTATATTTTCTTCTAAGAGTTTTACTGAGCTTTTACATTTAATTCCATCCATTTTAATTTTTGAGATAGGATCTTGCTGAGTCACCACACCCAACTCTTCCATCCATTTTTTAGTTCATCTTTGTATACAGAAACTCATACACTTATTTGGCAGTACTCGGGTCAGAACTAAGGGCTTCACAAATGCCAAGCATGACTATAAATGCATCAACTCAGGAGGCTGAGACAGGAGGATGCAATTTCAATGTCAGCATGGAAAAGTTAGTGAGACCCTATCTCAAGCTAAAAATTAAGAGCTAGGCATGTACCTCAATGGTAGATAGCCCCTGCATTCAAACCCCAGTACTACAAACAAAAAGAAACAAAAGATTTATATGTAATTTTATTTTTTGTAGATGGGGATGGAATCTAGGATGCACACATGCTAGGCAAGCACTCTACCTGTAAACCAAATCCCAGCTCATTACTGAATTTGTATACTGACCTTACATCATATGTCCATGCTGAATTTATTTAGTCTAATTGGTTTTCTGTGGATTTCTCATGGTAACCTGTAAAACTACGTCATCTGCTAGCGTTTCATTTTTTCCTTTATGTGTGGATACTTTTAAAATTGTTTTATTGCATAAAACCCCTGGCTAGACAGTTGGCAAGAGGAGATATTTAATGACATGTGCTTGTAGACCCAGTTACTCAGCAGGCTGAAGCCCAAGGATATTCTAGTTTAAGACCAGTTTTTTAAAGCAATTTTTTTTTTTTCTTTTTGAGAGAGGGTTTCTCAAGAGGCCTTTTTTTTTTTCTTTTCTTTTTTGATCTTTTTGACACATGGTCTCACTATGCCATTTAGGCTGGTCTCGAGCTTGCAACTGTTTGTTTCTTGTGCCTCAGCCTCCCAAATGGTGGGTTTAGAGGGATGTGCCACAATGCCTGGCTTTAGGCTGGTCTTAAACTCACAACATAGCCCAGAATGGTCTCAAATTTAAGTGATCCTCCTGCCTCAGGTTCCAGAGTGCTGGGATTAAAAGTGTGTACCACCATGCCCAGCCAAGGCATGTTGATAACATAGTAAGACCTCATTTTAGAAACAATATGCAGATACCCTTGCTTTGTTTTGGGAGAAAGATTTTTGTCTTATACCACTTGAGTATGTTACTCTGTAGGTGCTTCACAGGTGTCTTTTATCAGCAAAATTCCCTTGTACTTTTGTTCTGAAAGGATTTTAAAAGTACGAGTCAAACACTTTTTTGTATCTATTGAAGTGATCATGTGGACTTTGCCCTTCATTCTATTGACACAGTGTATGTTCATTAATTTTTTTTTTTTTTTGCGGAACCAGGGATTGAAGTCAGGCCCTTGTGCTTGCCAGGGAAGCACTTACTCCACTGAGCCATCTCCCTATCCCCTTATGTTCATTAATTTTTAGGCACTAAATTAACTTTACATTGTTAATATCTAAGTTAGTCAAGGTGCTTGATTCTTTTTTTGTTTTTAAGGTGCATGATTCTTTTCATATGTTGAGATTCAGTCTTAGTTCAGATTTTTGCCTCTATTTTCATAAGGAATACACTGATTTATAATATTCCACTTGAAGCATACTACCACAAACATAACTGGAAGTTATTTCTTAATATATTATATATGTAATACCTTATATAGAGATGTATGTTTAGGAGGTAAACATTATTAGATATTGAAAACTACAAAGATAATACAAATATTGCACAAAAACTTAAGCAAAATTTATACCAGGATCAAATTTCATGTTCAAATAACACATTTATAATTAGCAGTATATAAATGGCTATCTTCTAGCAATTCTTATCTAGGTAAGCATTAAGCCTCTAAAGATATTTCCGAAGTGAACTCTGATCATGACATAAACATATCAATGAAAGAAAAATGAAGCACTGGGGATCCCCAGGAGTCATTTGCTAGGAATGCAATTGGGAGTCAATTTTTTTTTTTCTTTCTGAGACAGGGTCTCACCATTAGTTCATGCTGGCCTCAAACTCAAAGCAACCTTCCTACTTCAGCCTCCTGAGAGCTGGAGTTATAGGCATACACAACATTCCTGGTTGCAATCAAATTCTTAACCTTAAGTTAAAAATCTAAAAAATAACTTTTCAAAAAAAGACTAAGACCATTTGAAAAGAAATCACAAGCCAATTATTTCCATTATCTCCCCCATGAAAATTTCTTACCAATGTTCTTTCTGATTTTCTAACAAACGGAAACTTTTCTACCAGTATTGGCATAAGAAACCATGGTGTCCTATTAAAAAAAAAAAAAAAAATCTGTATTAACTGGATTTTCTAGGAAGATACTGTTTCCATTCTCAGAGTAAACATGGATATAGGAGGCAAAGCAAAATCTCTATGACAACCAGCTAAAAGTTAAATTTATAATCAGAGAAAGCCAAAAACAGTTCAGAGGAAAACAAGCTTTATTAGCTATAATACCAATAACAAATCAAAGGGGGGGGGAATCTTCCACAAAAATTTAACAGAACTATAGTTTAAAAGCATTTCTCATACCTATATGATTTTTAAAAAGGGGAGAAATCACCAACTTGGATTTTTTTTAAGTTAACAAATCTGCAGAGGGAACTAGAAGCTCACCCAACATGTCTGTTTAAGAAAAAAGCCAAATTGTAACTACTATATAAAACTGGGGAATTTATCTACATATAAATTCAAAGCAATGGGGGCCTGGCCCTAGCTCAGTTCTTTAAGTGGCTGCTTCCACAAAGCTGTCAGCCTCAGGTTGCTGTAGTTTGATCCCCAAAACTCCAGCCAGCCAAACCTGCCCTGAAGGCATTTGGAGAAAAAAAAAAAAAAATTCAAAGCAATTAAAGATAATGAACAGAAAACAAGCAGCACTTTTTTTGCTAACGCCCTGATGTTTCATCAATACAATGCTAACATACAACCTAAGTTTTGACACTATCAACATTTTATAATTATCTACTAATAAATGCGAATTGTTATTGTAGTGCTAAAGACTTAACCTAGGGCTTTGCATATGTTAAGCAAACACTCTATCACTAAGCAATACTCCCAACCTAATTAAAATTCTAAGAAATACACAATTCAAAATAACAAAAATATACTCACGATGGGACATATCTTGCTATTATTTGCAAGGCTCTGTGACATGTGTCAAAATTTGCAGGAAGATCTAGAAGGAGAAAGTTCAGAGTATAAACATAGAAGCAAAACCGAAAACTGAAAAATGTTTGAAGCTAAGAACACCTGCTAACCAAAATAATAATTTCTCAGAGAAATAATTTGAAGTTTTTTCTCCATAACTATCAAAGAAGACAAAATAGACTGATTATATTAGTAACACATTTATTACAACTGTACCTTTAATGCTAATTATACCATATAAACCCCACCAAAAATTATCATTTGTTGACATTTACTTATTAAAATAGGTACCAGTACATTTTATTATTCAGCATATATTCTCTAGACACAGGAAACCCTTCTATGCTTTCTTTTATACTTACTATCATCTTCATCATCAGAATCTGAAACATCTATGTCACCTTCCTTAATGATCACGCGGGCTTTTAGAGAGAAAAAAAAATTATGTTATTCTTCTGGACAATGAACAAATATACAAAAACAAGCTGTTTTTTAATAGTCCAAACTCAGTACCATTGAGTGTATTCCTGGGGACTAGGGGTATATAACATGGTAAGTTTTTAAACAGATATAAGTTCCTAGATAAGCTCTAAGACTATCAGAGGCTCAATAAAGCAATTGACAGGGGTGGGACATATAGCTTAGTGGCACAGTGCCTGCCCAGCAAGCCTAAGGTCCTGAGTTTCATAACTGGTATTAAAAAAAAAAAGAAAAAGAAATAAAAAGCAAATTACAGTCCACCAAAAATTAACAATAAATTTAAATCGCCTATAAATTAATCGAGATACTTCCTTAGGGGACCACAAATGTCTGCCAGAATGCCAACATGCATCCCCAGAATCTTTCATGTAACAAAATCTCCAAATTAAAAAAGAAATTTAAAATACAAAAAACCAAAAACACCATATGCATGTCCACTTCTTCCTGCCTGTGACATCCTATGCTGCCTTAGCACTCTGCCAGCAAGGTGGCCGTTACCAGGCATGGTCCTTTGACTAGGGACCAGAAAAATGAGCAGAACACACTACTTTTCTTTATAACAAGAAAACGAAGGGCCGGCGATATAGCTCAGTGGACTAAGCGCTTGCTTAGGGAAGCGCAGGGGCCAAGGTTCAATCCCTGGCACCACATGCCATGCTGGACCTACCCCAGGCACACTGAGCTGGCAATGGAGTCTGGGCATGGTGGTGCATGCCTGTAATCCCAGTACTAGGGAGGCAGATATCAGGAGGATCACCAGGAGCCCGAGTGAGACCTTGTCCCCCCCCCCCCCCCCCCCCCGCAAAACAAACAAAAAAAAAAACCTTAAAAAGAAAAGGAGGTGGAAGGGGAGAAAAGGGGGAGAGATAGAGATAAAGGAGAAAAACAAACAAGTCAAACAGTAACCACTTACGAGGTATAAAATGAGAAGCAATCATGCTGAGACACGGCCTCAGGAAGACAGTCTGTGCTGACACTAGATTACCAAGAAAAGCCAAATACTCTTCCACCACTGTTTGACTTCTGTTCAACCAAGGCAATCTCTAGAATTGGAAGGAGAGGAACATTATATTGATACAAACTATTTTCAAAGTACTGAACCTCCTACTAGTCACAAACAGTGAACTTACCAACAGAATGCTGATAAGCTGCTCAAAATCTTTTGTCAAGTACGTGATAGAAGAGCGGAATTCTAGCAGCCAATTAATGATCTGGTCATCCTTAAATAAAGAAAAGTACTTTCAAAATTACAAAATTACAAATCCTCTGAGGTAACAGAAAATAATGTATCTGTCATAATGGCACGTGTCAATAATACCAGGCACTTGGGAGACTGAGGCAGAAGGATCACAAATTCAAGGCTAGTTTGGGCAATTTAGCAAACTGTTTTAAAATTAAAAAAAAAAAAAAAAAACAAACCCTAAGTCAGGCCTAGGAACACTTATACAATCTCAGCCCTTGGGAGTTCAAGGCCAGCCAGATTAAGGTCAGCCTGAACTACAAGGCAAAAAACTGTCTCAAAAAAAAAAGAAAAGAAAAAAAAAACATTTAAAAAGTTACAGCACTGCCTCACTGATAGATCACCTGCCTTGTCTTATACACTTCAAGGTCAGGAAAACATCCCGAGCAATACTCATATGATAATAATAATTATGCTGATAAAATTAGGTGGGAAACAACAAATTTGGAATTATATAAAAATTGAGGGTGCCAGGGAGATAACTCAGCAGTCTAACTGCCTGCCTGACAAGCTCAAGGACCCAGGTTAAATCTCCGGTACCGTGTGTACCAAATAAATCTTAAAAAAAAAAACAACCTAAAAATAAAAAATTGAGTACCGAACAAAAATGTCATCAACTTTCCTGTTTTAAAGAAAGGTAACCTAGTTAATACAAGACTTGTTTGTTTGGTACTAGGGATTAAACTTGAAGCCTTCAACACTGCGCTAAATCCCCAACCCTTTATTTTGAGACAGGGTCTCACTAAATTGATGAACTGCCCAGATTTGCCCTGAGGATCCTCCTGCCTCAGCTTCTCAAGTGTTAAGACCACAGGCATGCATCACCAAACTCATCTGACAGCTGAATTTTTTTAAACATATTTAGTATGGGGTCTATAGGATCTCACTATGTAGACTGGACTCACAGTGATCCTCCAGTTCTCAGCCTGGGATTTCAGGTGCCACGCCCAGTCTCAACTGTCCTCTCTAACCAGGCACTTTAGTCTGCTGAGCTATCTGGCTGGCCTACCTGAGCTTTTTTAAACTGCAGAATTTTAACATATTCAAACACCAGGGTAGGCCTGGTGTCACATGCCTGTAAACCTAGCATTAGGAAGACTAAGGTAGGAAGACTGCTCCAAGTTCAAGCCTTGAGTTCAAGGCCAGCCTATAACAAATAACAGGACCCTGTAATGTTATTAGAAAAAAGAAAAAAAAAGTTCACAAAGGAGCCTTAACTGTTTTCTCTATATTCACACTGATGAACCAGTGTTATCAACAAATAAGTTTTTCTCAACCCAACCTGCAGCTGGTTCAAACATATTCAGATGTGTTTACGTAAGTAATGGTTCTAAGGTAGAATATGGAGCTCAATTGTAGTTTGCCTAGAGTTCACAAGGCCCTGCGTTTGATCTCTAATAACATAAAATATCATTACTGTTTCTATTATACCATGAAATTTTTGATAAGATTACTGCTGTAAAACTTTTAAGTGCCAAGAGTGTTAAGGTTTGTGTATAGGTGTCCCCCCAAAGCCTTCTGCAGTCATGGGGAGGCTTCCGGAGCTTGTGGTTGATTATTGTGGGTGTGGATGCTGTACCTGCCCTGGGGCAGGTAATTTGCATTACAAAGTAAGGTGGGAAGAGAAGCTAGCCGCTTGAGCTGCTGCTACCTCTCCCTTGCTGACTCCATGAAAGGTTGCTTTCCCCTTGTGCCCTGGGCCTTGGAGCCAGCTGAATATGGACTGACATCTCCAGTTACTGTGAGCTAAATAAACCCTTCCTTCCCTCATTTTGAGTGTCAGGTATTTGTCCAAGCACCGAGGGGAGAGTAACTAAGAGAATGAGATAAACTTCCTTTTTAAAAAGAGATGTATAATTTTTGTCAGAACTGTAAAGTGAAAATTCTTTTGGGGTTGGTTATAGGGATCAAATCTAGAGCATTGTGACACAAACTACACCTCAGCCCATGCAAAGACATCATTTATATTCATGCATATATGCAACACAGAGAAAAAAATTACAGGAAAAGTGTCAATTTGTAAAAGAAAACAATTAATGCCTGGTAAGGCCTAACAGGGGAAAGAGCCTAAGTAGAAGCAATTCAGTGTCATACCTACACTCAAAACTCAAAGAGATACTTTAGTGAGAACATACCAACTTGAGGCATAGTGTTTACTTTTTATCTCTTTTGGCTTTCTTTTTTGAGACTGTGTTTTAAAAGAGACCTTCAGCTGACTATGTAGCCCAATCTGGCCTTGAACTTGCAGTGAGCAGCCTCCAGAGAACTAGAATTACATACAGTATTGGAATTACATGCAGGAGCCACCACACCTGGTATATCCTTTTCTAATCCTAAATACTGTCAGATAATTATTCTCATTTTACAGAAGAACAACCTATAGAGGGATTTGCTCTAATGGTGTTTGTAAATAGGATATCATGTCCACATCTTATACAGCAATTAACCCCTACGAAGAATGTATGCAATGTGTTAATTATTGAAACTGTCCTACCAATTTGGTTTGAAACTTTTGCATTGCTATTTGTTTCTCAATAAAATTATGGAAAAAAAAAAAAAAAAGGACAACCTAGATTAAGAGAGACTACTTAACTTACCGAACTAAGACACAAAGGGGCCAGGTTCAGTGCTATATTCCTTTCCAACCAGGATCAGTGCTGTATTACACCTACTCTTCACAATGCCTTGTTCCATGTAGAGAAGAGCTGCCACTTTTCCCCCACCTTCAGCCAGCTAACTGTTTAGTGTTTTCTCTGTGCTATCTACAGGCTTCCACAGGCTTGACTATTTTCTAATAACACTCCATGTAACATAGTAAGAAAATAGAATAATTCACAACTCTTTTGCACTATGTTAACTGCATAATGCCCAAAGCCATTAAGAATGACACTGATATAATGGCACACACCTACACCAGCACTATGGGAGGCTGAAGCACTAGGCTAGATAATTTAGCAGGACCCTGTCTCAAAATAAAATGAGTAAGAGACAGATGCAAAGACCCTAGACTCAATCCCTAGGGCCACAAAAAGGGAAGGCAAGGGGGAGATAACATTAATGGCAGCTCACTGAGACTAAGGCACAAATACCTGTTTTAGTCACAAATAACGATACGTAAAATATATCTGATTCCTTTTCCACTTAAAAAAGAGGTGTAAGGGCTGGGGGAAAAAAAAGCAATCAATAATGAAAACCAAAAAGTAAAACAATCATAGACTTTGGTACATTAGTAATGAACTGTTATTAACTTCATTTAATACTCTGAAGCAGAGACACACCCAGTATTGTTATGTCAAGAATCTGTTGCCATAAAATATGCCCAAGAAATTGGTCTTTGTACTGGAAAGAAGGTGAGAGTCAGAGACAGCTTTAAAGAGGAAGTGATACCTCAACTTTCTTTAAATAGTAACTATGTTTTGGGCCGGCCAGATAGCTCAGCGGACTAATGTGCCCGCTTAGGCACAGTGCATGGCTGGAGTATGATCACTGATGTGCTGTGCTGCTGCTGCTCCTGCCCTGCTGAAATGGTGATTGCGACAGATTGTGGTGATGCCTGCCTATAATCCCAGTGCTTAGAAGGCTGGTAACAGGAGGATCACTAGGAGTTTGGTCTATGTAGTGAGACCCTGTACTAAAACACATTAAAAAAAAAAAAAATAGGATAGATATATAGCTACTTTCTCTTAGTTCAATGAGATTTGTACTAATAGGGTTTAGACAAGAGATCATGTCTGCATCTTATACTCTGAATAACTACTATGAAGACAACAATATGCAATGTATTAATTATTGTAACTGTCCTACTAACTTATTTTGAAATTATTTCATTGCTATTTCTTTCTCATCAAAAATAAAAAATAACACCCCCCAAAAAACAAAAGAAAAAAAACCCATAAAAATAAATAGTAATTATTTTCTAGGGATTACATTCCTTACAGAGGTAAAAGCACTGTGTTTGAAAACACAAAGTAGCTCAGTTCACCTACAGCAGCAGTGGCCAACCCATGGCACATGTGCTATTGTAATTTTGTTTTAAGGCAAAAGACATTAATATACAAGTTATTTTTTTAAGCTAAAATCTTACACTCAAGTTTAATTGCAGTGTTGGCACTCTGCGCTAAGTAAGTGGGTTTTGGGCTGCAGTTTAAGCACTCAGTCTCTAAAAGGTTCACCATTACTGGCCTAGAGTAAATGCTAAGTAATCCAACAGATAAATCTTGGGAGCAGAGAAGATAGGTCAGAGAAGACCTTGTGAGCCAGACACTTATCAGCTGCGAGTTCAATCCCCGGTTGGGGGTGGGGGGCGGAGAATGATCAGCTGCGACACATGCCTATAATCCTAACACCTAGGGGGCTAAGGCAGGAGGATCACTGTGAGTTCAAGGCTAGCCTAATCTACATGGTGAGTTCAAGGCCAGGCTAAGCTACATAGTGAGCTCAAGACTAGACTGAACTAAACAGCAAAACCCTGTCTTAAAGAAAAAGTGGCAAATTGAGGTAATGAAGTATCTTTATTATTGAGAATGAAGATAGAAAATATGTTGTAAGCTACACTAAAAAGTTGACCATTCTTTCACAGGCATGAAGTTATTTTAGTAAGAGAAGGACATTACTAGAATTGTGTTCTAGTGAGATAAATTAGGCTGTAGTTTGGGGATAAATCTGGAGGAAGGGCATAGAGGACAGAACCTAGAAACCACCATAGAGTTACCACAAGAATCTAGACAAAAGAGCATTAGTGAAACAGATTTTTTTTTTCCTCAAAGGATTTGGTGAATAGGTATGGGGATGAAAAGTCCAGAAAAACTCAAAGGCTTCTAATTAAAGAACTGGATAAACAGAGTTAAATGGATACAACTTGAGACCATAATCATAAGTAAATTAAATCAGACTCTCATGTGCAAATATTAGGGCCAGAGAGATAGCTCAGTAGAATAAGCACTTGCGTGGCAAGCCCAAGGTCCTGAGTTCAATCCCTGGTACTGCAAAAAAAGGGAAAAAAACCCAAAAGTGCAAATATTGCATTGCCTCCCTAGTGTAAGAAACTAAAAGAGTAAGAGCCAAAATGTACAATAAATATTATGAAAAGAAACTGCTCAAAAGAAATGGGATTGAAGAAGAAAAAAATACACACACACACACACACACACACACACACACACACGAGAGCTAAGATTATACTAATTTCTATTAGCTCATTGAAAAGGTTTTTGCTTATATTGTTTGATCAAGTTTTCCTACCTGTATCTGGTAATCTGAGCAACTACTTTGAAGATAATATGCAATGTATTAAATATTTTAACATCATTTTGAAATTTTGTATCTTTCTTTAATAAAAAGAATCGAAGACAATAGTTAAACATAAAAGGAGGCTGTAGGGGAGTGGATTTAGGAGAGAAAAAATGTGTTTGATTTGCTAATTTGGAGCACCTGTGACAATTCACATTTACCAGGAAGTGAAGAACAAGTTTGGAGCCATGAGAAATGAGCTACAGATTTTTATAGACAGAGAAGTTTGGACACCCAATCAACACTAAATTTAAAAACTTAGAAAAGAGAACAAATAGATATAAATGATCAGGAGTCAAGAGGATCATAAATACTACAGGGGAGGTGGTTAAAAAGTAGCTGGCCAGTAGATCCACTGATAGAATTGGCATGAGGCAGTTTTGGATTTTTTTGGCTTTTGTGTTTCTGTGTTTTAGTCAGGACTGAACCCAGGGCCTTTGCACTAAGTATATTCCCAGCCTTTTTTTATTTTCTTATTTTGAGACAGCCTCACTAAATTACCCAAGCTGACCTTAAACTTGCAATTCTTCCCATGCAGCTGGGTTTACAGACATGGATCACTGCACCTGGTTGTATGGATACCTAGAATCCCAGCAATTGGAAGGGTGAGTTAGGATTGCTGAGCTACATAGTAAGCTTAAGGCCTGCCTGAACTGCACAATAAAGGGGGGTGGGGGGGGGGAGACAAAAGAAATGAAGACATGTACATAATCAACAAAAAGTAACAATAATTACAAAGTTCTTACTTTGGGTCAGAGGTATTCTAAGTGATTCTGGTACATGAACTCATTGAATTTACTTTAAAAATATTTCCATATTTACTTAAAACTTTTCTTTTAAATCATGTTAAAAAAAAAAAAAAAGAAAACTTCCATTGCTTTATTTGTTTTACAGCACCTCTATCATCTATCCAATGCCAGCAGCACCCCTCCCTCCCAGTCGTGACAACAAAAATAGCCACTGCCAACTAACCCCAAATAAGTAAAACTGTTCCTGGGTGAAAAAATCACTGGGTTAAAGTCAGACACCATGAGAAAGCAAGCTCTGAAGGACAGAACAGGACCAAATGTGTAAATAATGCCTGTATAAAGTGTTAATAACTGCTTTGCTACCTGTCAAACAAAAAAAATTACCTTTATATCTGGATCCGATAGCTGGTTCTTTAACAATTCAAAGTCATTTGTTTCACCCTGAACAAGAAGGGGGAGAGGTTAAATTATGTTCGCTGTGGTTTCCTATACAATATCAACAGCAAGACTTTTCTTTTTGGAGACAAGACCTTACTCAATTCAGGCTGAGTTCACTGTGTAGTCCAGGATAGCCTTGAGTGTGTAGTGACTCTCCTGCCTCAGCCTCTTGATTGCTGAATGGCAGGCCTTGTAATTATACCTTAACATCTAATGAAATTGCAGAAGGAACCTTGTAACTTTCACATATCCTCTGTAATTATCAAATCGTGACTATAAATATTTTAAATTTATATGATAAGGGGGAGTTGGGGGGAAAATGCCATTCACATTAGCTATAGTTATGCACTTACATTTAAATCTAGTAATATTTTCCCCCCACAGCAGTACTGGGGATCAAACTCAAGACTTCAAAAAGAACTACATCCCCAGCTTGTTTTTAATGTTCTACCACACCTGACTTCAACTCATTTCCTTATGTATACTAGTCTATCTGTCCTTCTTTCCATGCTCCACCACTGAGCTACACCCCCAATTCCTAGACTCATCTTTTTTATTTATTTATTTTGTGTAGAACCAGGGATTGAACTCAGACCCTTGCACTTGCCAGGTAAGCACTTATTCTACTGAGCCATCTCCCCGGCCCCTCCTAGACTCATCTTTAATTTTTTTTTTTTTTTTTGTGGAACCGGGGATTGAACTCAGGTCCCTGCGCTTGCCAAGGAAGCACTTATTCCACTGAGCCATTTCCTCGGCCCCTTGCTTTACATGTTATCTCTTACCTTTTTGTATTTCCGCAAGACTTCTGTCACAGTTCCACCAAACCGAACAGTTTTTCTTGGAGGAGAACCGAAGAAATCATTCTTTAATGCAAAGACATCTGAAACTCTATAGAACCAAGATTACCAAGCCATTACATCCTTGACAGTGAATAATATATCTAGGGTTGGGGATGTAGGTCACTAATATAGCGCTTGACAAGAATACAAGAGGCCATGGGTTCAATAATCAGAATCACAGAATAAAAGAACATTTATTGAACCAGGTCATTCAGTAAGACTACAAGGCATGACAAAAATATATAGGTAAATGTTTAAATTTAAAAAAAAAAAAAATTACCATTAGGACAACTTGCCATGAGCTCCCTGCAAAATACCCGTGCTTTAACAATTATCCCATCATTCTTACCAATTTCTGAAGCAGTTCTGGAGATTGTCTTTTGTTTTTCTGAGATGTGATTTAAAACAATATAGTGATTGCTACTGTTGAGTAACATAAAACAAAAAGGCAGTAGCAATTGCCTTTGGTGTGTCCTCATCCACTTTTTTCACTGAAGTCAGAATGACCATAAGGTAGGTGCTTTGAATTGACTGATGATATAGAGACAGTCTCAACAGCAGAACTAAAGGCAAAGACTTTCCAGACTGCTTCAGAAGTGGCAGGAACAGTGGGATAAATGTGTTCAAAGCAAGGGCGAGTGTTTTGAGGGTACTGAGAGCAATATGCATTTTCTTTTTTAAACAGGGTCTCACTTTGTAGTTCAGGCTTCCCTTAAACTATGTAGCCCAGGATGGCCTAGAACTCAGAGATCCTCCCACTTCAGACTCCTGGGTGCTGAGACTTCAAGAATCCTCCACAGCCCAGTGGTGATGTATCTTTTACTATAATAAACTTTCTATATTTAAATATTCACCAGTTTTCAACCTCACTATGCATGCATGCTATAGTTTCCTAAATGGTCTCCCTGTTATTCCTCAATAGTCTATTCATTCCCCCCAGTAATCCATTCTCCACTCAGTAAAAGTAGTTTTCCAGATGCACTTAGAAAAACCCCCCAAGTTTCTACATTAATCATACAAAGTCTTACATCTGGTCGCTGCCTACCTCCTCTCTGACTTCATCTCCAACCACTTGTTTTACTAAAAGCAGTGTCCTTTGTGTTTGCAAACCTGTCAATCTGGTTCCCATTTCACTTACTCTTCATACTACCATAAGCAATCCTCTCCGATCTACACCAGGTTAGATTCTTACCCACATTCAAGCTGAAGCTTAAATATCAGGACCTCCCCACCAGAAATCTACAGTACCCATCCTCTCCTCTACCCCTTCATTATCCTGTTGTATTGTATTTCTTCACAGCACTTTCAACTACCTAAGACTATCTCATTGGTGTATTTATTAGCCAATTTACTATCTCTCTCTCACACGAACACTGTAAGCTCTGTTGAGAAAAAGGTCAGTCTCTGGACAGACCTCTACTCCCCCTGTCTCTGTCAGAGAACGCACTTAATGGAGAATTGTGAACATTATACTATGTGGTTTACAAGATCTGCTTTTATTTAAACACAGGTCAGTGAAGAAAAGGCAGCATAGTCGGGACAATGAAAGTTAAACTCCCAATTATTTCATGGGAGTTAGAAAATCTAAAAATTAAGCATGATAAAGGCTACTGAATTAAATACGTGCGTAGAAAAGAAATTTCGAAACAATTTTAGGTCTTGCATCTGTCATCAATGACACCACTGGGCTGACCAATTCGTGGTCTAAAAAAATCCCTTCCCAATCTAGACGGAGAAGCGGAAGGAAAGAGGAAAGAAGCACAAGGCAATGCCCAGGCCTGGGTCCCTGTGAGGGATCCAGAGCGGTGGATGGCTAAGAGACTGGAATGGATAACAGATGTATTTACGCTCATTTCCTTTACCCACGTAGGAGGAACCGGCTCACGCTCGCGAACTGAGACCCGTGCTGCTACCACACACAAGGCAAGAGCTTTTATCCCACATGCTCTGTCCCAGACGCTCAAGTCTGTTCTTCCTACTCCAGTCCCACACTCTCACACGAAAGAAGTCCGAATTTTACCCTGTCCCTGAGGCGCCCAACGCCGCTACCGTAGGTGCTGAAGCGGGTGCATCCGGGGGTAACCGCGTGCGAAGCAGCGAGGCTGCCATCCCGCGGGAGACGCCAGCCAGCTCGGCCTGGCCCAGGAAATCGTGCTCCTTCCAGCTCCCGCCCCTGCTCCGGAACTCGCCCTCGCGAGGCGCGGCCTTCAGCCAATCAGGGTCCGCACAGGGGCAGCGTCTATGGTCGTGGGCTAGAGCGCCACGCCAGCCGTCCCCGCCCCTCCCCGCCGGAGGCCCCTCCTTCGCCGGGGACGACTTGCCCCGCCCCGTGCGCTGCCCCTCCCGCACGACCGAGAAGGGCTAAATGTTGTTGAGGATTCCGTGATTATCAGTGTGTTGTGTTGCGTTGTGTCGTGTTTGTTTTGTTTCCCCAGCACTTGAGATTGAACCCAGGGCCTGCGCGGGGAGCTACACTCCCACCGTTTCAGGAAATGCCTAATTTTCACCGGCGAAGCACTACCTCTCAGAGCCCTGGAAGGACAGTTGTGCGCCCCCAAACCCTCTGAGTACTGGGTTTTGGGGAGTCAAGCCACCCTGAAACAAATAGAAGGAACAAGAGTCTTTTTTCTTCTCTGTTTTAAAATTTTTTTGAGATGGTCTCTCCCTGTAATTCAGGCTGGCCTTGAACTCGTTAAGAAATAGGGGCTGTCCAACTCACAGTGATCCCTGACTTCATTCTCTCAAATTTAGGGGTTAAAGGCCTGCTTCCCCCTGTCCCCGCCCTCACCGTATTTTTTGTTTTGGTACCAGGAATCAAACTCAGGATCTTGCCCTTGCCAGGCAGGCTTTGTGCCACTGAGCTATATCCCTGGTAAGACCATATTTTTAACAGAAGTTCTCACAGAGAAACAAGATCCCAGCTCAGCTGTGTGATCCAGAGCCTGGGGTCTGTACCACTGTTTATGTTTAAGAACACCAAAGATAATCTTACCCTCTCGGAAATGCTGTACACTCCCAGAGATTTACCCAGAAGCCTCAGGGTGTGGAGAAAAATCAGAGGGCTTATCCTTTAAACATAATTTTCTCATCTGACTCCCACCTAAGGATTGAAGCTGGGGCCTGGTGCATGCCAGGCAAGTGCTTTACCACTGAAATCCAAACATAAATTGGTAAAGTAATAAATCAGCCAGACCACCAAAACAACGATTTTCCAGGCAAAGGGAGCAACAAAGGCCAAAGCTTGAAAACTGCCATTCCCCTTAGTTCTTTCTTTCAGACAAGGTCTCATTATGTAGTTCAGGTTGGCCTTGAACTCTCTGTATCCCAGGCTGACCTTGAATTCGCAGCAGTCCCTCTGCCTCAGCCTCAGTCGTGCTGGGGTTACAAATGGACGCCACCACACCCCGCCCCTTAGTACTTAAGGCCAAATGAACTTTTGGAAACATAGAGAACTATTAATACATAACCTAATGCAGCAACTTGTGGAATATAAATTCCTGCCTGGCCAGCACAAGGTCCTGAGTTCGATCCTCATTTATATGGCATAGCTCTGTGGTACAACAGTGTGACGTCAGCAACTTCCTGCTGTCTCCGTTTGGTACCACTGTCTACAGTGCTTGTGGAACGTTGGGCAGTAATCAGTGTCTCAAAAGCAAAGTAAATAATTGCACTATAGCTCACAAGGGAGCTTTAAAATGGCTTTTTTTTTTTTTTGCAATAATCTCTCCTTTCACCCCAACAAAGAAAAATAAATAAATACAATCCATAGGTATGATTCATATCAGAAGTGTAACTAAACTGATAAATAATTCAATAATTACACTTTAGTCTTTCATTGTAAAAGTTGAACTTATCCAAAAGAATTTTTTTTTTGTGAATACCTTGTGATTTAAGAAACAGTGCTATGAACTATCAGTGATGCATGCTTGTAATCCCAGTTACTCTGGAGATTGAGGCAGAAAGATCCCAAATCTAAGGTAAACCTGGGCAGATTAGTGGGACCCTGTCTCAAAATAAAAAGGACTAGGCATTGTAACTAAGTACAAAGCCCCACGTTTAATCCTCAACTTGCAGAGAAGGGAGGCAGGACAGGATGGAAAACCTGTGTGCTCCTCCCAGACCCCAAACTAGCAAAAATTATTAGTAACCAGCCTAAGATCGTATACCTAATTAGCAGCAGAGGCTAGACTAAAACATAAAAGAACTGAGTTTAAATTTTCTTTCCACCAAATCAGGTTATATTACATTATATATATAAACTAATTATTAACTAATTATATTATATATAAACCAATATTTTCTTATTTTCATTTTCCCTTGGTGGGGCGGCAATAGTGGGAATCATTCCTAGCTCTTATCCCCTAAAGGGCAGGTAACCTGGATGGAATTTATTTATTTATTTTTATCTTTTTCATTTATGTATTTGGTACAGGTCTCACTATGTAGCTTGGACTCATGGTGATCCTCCTGTTTTGAACTTCCGCAGGGCTGGGATTAAAGGTGTATACCACCATGCCCAGACTTAGTCACTAGATCAGGTCGCCCAGGGGTGGGGCTGTTTGGCATGCAGGACTAGGGACTGAACCCTGGTCCCTGTGCTTGCCAAAGCAAGGATTAGTCCACTAAGCTATCTTGCTGGCCCAACCTGGATGAAATTTAGAGGTCAGCTTCGTTGGTTAAAGTCCTCCTCCACTGTATTACTTCCTTCTGCTCGCTGTGCTATGAACTGTTTCTCCTCTGCCATGCCTTACTGTGGTGCCACCCTGCACTGGAGCCAATCCCATGGACTGAAAGCTCTAGAAACTGCAACAATCCTTCCCTCCTCTAATTCCAAGTAGAGGGTATCTTGTCTCAACAAGGAGAAAAGTAAGACAGTTACTTAAGAACATCTCTTAGTGTGGGTATGATGATGCATGTTTATAATCCCAGCACTCAGGAGGCTGAGGTAGGAGGACAGCTGAGAGTTCAAGGATATCCTGGGCTATGTAGTGAGTTCAAGGCCAACCTGGACTACATAGTGAGACCCTGTCTCCAAAAGAAAAAAAAAATTCTTAGATAAATACAACCAACATGTTCATCAATAGGAAACAGGATCTACAAAATATATGTTAAGTGGAAAAAGAAAGATGCTTCGTGGTATACAGAGATCCATGCAGGGACCAGGGAGATGGCTCAGTAGAATAAGCGCTTCCCTGGCAAGCGTGAGGGCCTGAGTTCAATCCCCAGTTCCATTAAAAAAAAAATCCATGCAAATATGTGAGCACTTTGTATATCTCCAAATAGTGTAAATTTTATATTTACACTGGACTATGATACTATGTTGCCCTAGCTGACCTTCAGTTTGAGATTCTTTTGCCTCAGCATCCTAAATAGCTGGGACTACACCCAGCTTCATTTAATGCTTATATGAACAAAAGGACTGACACAAATATAATATGATTTAGTGTGTGCCTATTTCTAGAACTATTCTTTTCTGAAGAATAGAAGTAGGGTTGTAGGGATATTTCACTTTCTGTCATTTACACATTTAATTTTCTATTTTTTTGTCATGCTAGAAATTGAATCCAAAAAAAAAGGGAAAGAAATTGAATCCAAAATCTTGTACATTCTAGGTAAGGGCTCTTGTTGGACTCATTTGGTCTTTTAGTGTGCCTTGGGGAGAAATGGCAGCAGGAATGAGGAAAAGATAAACAAGAAGACAAGATCTGGGCCAGGTGGTGACCTGTAGCCTGATTGGCAAATGAACACCCCCCCCATAACAGTAAGGTTGTTTATTTAATACCTTTGCAAAGTTAGTACCATGTAACACAAGGTTTCCCAGTGACTAATAGCTGACATCAACCAGGCAGGATGGATGCTTTTCTCAGGACTGAGGCAGCTTGGCAGCTTTAGACGGCACTAGGCACTGAGGCCTTAGTCCTGCTTGCACACATGATCAATTTCCAGCTTGAGCAGCTCCCAACAGGTTCTATCATTTTTTGAGTACTGCAGATGGAACCCTGGGCTTCATGTGCTCTACTACTGAACTATCTCTCTTACCCCTGATATTTGTGCAGCCTATAAAAATGTTCCTCTTAAAATTTGGAAAAACATAAATCAGACAGGCTTGTTTTCAGAATATATTAACATCTCTTCATGTGTTCATAAGACTAAAGGAATTTTTCTTTTTTTTTGCAGGGTAACTAGTTTCTACTTCTAGTTATACTACAGGTTCATTAACCAGTTTTTTAAAACTAATCAGTTTTTAAGAATCACTATTTACCAAAGATAAAAATTCAGGTTTACTAGTACAATGGATTAGCCATTATATAATAAAAAGCTTTTCTATAGGTTCATGTAAATACTCTCTACAATGTTCTTTGTTCTACAGTACATTTAATTGACTCTTCTCTGGGTTCTTAACTGTACTTCTACAATTATTAAAACAACTGCTTACCTGGTACCATATATCTTAAAAAGAAATTTATATCAGCATATAAATTGCTGACTTAGTCCATGATAGATAATGCTCTGTTGTTGAATTTCACCATCATCCCTGTCATTATGATAAGCTTATTTAACTTATCATAATGTTCTTCCAATTGTGTCCCCTCATCCAAACATCTGTAATACATGAAGCCTTCAAGCTTGGGTTCACTTATTTATTTTTTTGAGACATGATCTCTCTATGCAGTTCAGGCTGTCCTTGACCTCACTAGTGTGTAACCCAGTGCTGGGATTACAGGCATGTGGTATCATGTTCAGATAGGAGTTAACTTTTTTTATAAAAACAGCTATAATTTTTGGAAATGCCGATCCAAAGTGTTGTACTCAGAGCACGATATTCCAGAATAGTGGCAGCCTAGAGAATTTGTTTCTCACAATTGGGTACTGAGTGTTTAGCTATTCAGTCCCTTGCCCCTACAGCCAAGAAAGAGGGAAGTCTGGCTACTACTACAACTGGCAGCACTGTGGCACTGGTTTTAGATGCATGCAGAATGGAAGAGTTGTGGGGTCAGTAAGGCTCCCACCCAGATTTCAGAAGAGCTAGGAGGCTAAGCAGTGAACCCCTGAAAGAGCAGAGTGAGCTTGTGAGTGTAAAGCCAATGGTGCAGTGGAAATGTAAGTTTGGAGAAGCTAGGAATATGGATCATCTGAGAAAAACTGCAAGGAGGGAGCAGAGTCTGCCCAGAGAGAGACCATGGGAACTACCACCACCACCACTGGAAGTTCTATAGAGGCCAAGCCACCACCCAACCCTATTAGAGTTTACATCTTGCCACAGATTCCCTTGGATGCTGCACATGGAAGTATTGGACTTAATGTTTACCTTGCTGGATTTTGGAATTGCTTTGGTCCCATTCCTTTGTATCTCATTTGTAATGTTTAGAATGGAAATATCCATTTTGTGCCACTGAATTTTTTTTTTGTCGGAACTGGGGATTGAACTCAGGCCCTTGCACTTGCCGGGCAAGCGCTTATTCTAGTGAGCTATTTCCCCAGCCCCCAATGAATATTGTATATGCCTTTCTTTTCATTTGTGCAGAGGCTCATAGCTAACAGTTTTCCTTCAGTCTCCAAGAAAGACTTGGAACTCTGCTGAAACTGTTAAGATTTTGGCAACTCTTAGAGATGGACCAAATGCCTTTTGCATAAAGGGGTGTACATGAGTCTTTGGAGAGTTAGGAGGGGAAAGATGTAGTTTGTTCCTAGATGTCCACCCAAAGGCTCATGTGGTCATTGGGTGGGGCAGGCTTTTCACAGGTAGCTGAATCTAAAGTTTGTGACTGATTCATGGTCCAATGCTGGGATTAAGGGTGTGAGTACTATAGCCACCCTAGGGTAGGTAGATCAGATACAATATGAAGAAAAGTATTGGAGGCCAGACCCCAAAAAGGCTTGACCTTGCAGAAGAAGCTGATAAGGAAATAAAATGTGGCAACGTGTCTAGCTTCCTTGACCCGCAGTTTGGGCAAGAGGCCCAATAGCAGATTCAGTGTTCTGGAATGTGCAGTCTTCTGTTTATCAGCTTGGCCCTGGGAAACTATTCTGGCCCAAGAAAAACAAGAAGGCTTAGAGTTAACTAGGACAAATGTTGGGCACAGGATCAAGATTTTCTGTATATAAAGTTTGAAGCAAAATAAACTCATTGCTGGAACACCATCCAGACCTCCTGATCTTGTCTGTCTGTCTTTCTGTCTTTCTGTCTTTCTGTCTTTCTGTCTTTCTGTCTTTTCTTTTCTTTTCTTTTCTTTTTTCTTTTCTTTTCTTTTCTTTTCTTTTTTCTTTTCTCTTCTCTTCTCTTCTCTTCTTTCTTTCTTTCTTTCTTTCTTTCTTTCTTTCTTTCTTTCTTTCTTTCTTTTCTGTCCTCCCTCTCTACCCTGATCCCCTCTGCAAGGGCTGCCCTGCCACCTCCCAGGAAAGAAACTTATCTCTTTCCTTTTGCTTGTTGTTTTTGATGTTTTCCAGCACTACAAATGCAACCCAACTGTGAGCTAAATAAACCTTTCTTCCCTTTAACTTTAGGTTTCGGGTATTTTTGTCTCAGCAGTGAGAAAAAAGTAACCACGACAGTGGTACATACCTATAATCCTAGCACTTGGGAGGCTGAGGCAGGAGGATCACAATGAGTTCAAGGTCAGCCTGGACTGCATAGTGAATTCAAGGCCAGCCTGAGCTACATAGTGAGACCCTATCTGAAAAACAAAGTGCAATCAGAGTATAGATCAAAGGTTGAGCACTTAGCATGCTGTTGACCCAAGGTTTTATTCCCATTATTGCAAAAATGACTTTTCTTTTTTTATTTTTGAGATAGGTCTCACTATGCAGCTCAGGCTGGCCTAGAACTCAGTGATCTTTCTGCCTTAGCCTCCTGAGTCCTGGAATTATAGGTGTGCACCTCCATGCTCAGGTGGCATTGTAAAAATAAATTAAAATATAATATACAACAAATCAGATTTTAAATCCTTGGGAAAAACAGGAGTCTCCAAAGTTGTAAGCATACATACCTACTACAAAGTATAGCATATTATACCACATTGAATATATAAAAGCTGTGATTGTGAATACAAGGAATTTCACTTTCCCATGTCAACTTCTGTAGAAATTTTACATATGTCCATGTTAACTCACTGTGTGAGACATCATTTTCTATTAAGAGAGTTGGAATGCTTCCACACTAAGTTTACTTTTATAATAAATTTATTTTACTTGGAAGCAACCCAGATGCCCATCAACTGAGGATTGGATAAAGATGATGTGATATTTTTACACAATAGATTGTTCAGCTATATAAAAAAAGTATATATCTGAGGCTTTTATTTGTAAATGGATGCAACTAGACACCATACTCTTAAGTGAAATAAATCAGATTTACATGTGCAAACAGTATTGTTTCCTTAGGGTAAGAACCTGAAAGAGTAAATAAAATCTGAAGGGTAAAATAGATACTGGGAAAAGGGAATGAACCTGTTCAAAAGGAAGGAATTACTGAGTTGAGAAGGACAGGAAAAGGAGTAGGGGACAGAGACATATTTATGTGTGTAAGCAAGATGGTTTGGATAATTGTACTGTGGATTTCTGCTGGTCTGTGGAAAAGAGCAGTTAACGCTTAATTTTTTTTTTTAATCTTCTTTTTCCATTTTCTCTTAATTCTTTTTTCTTTCTTTGAATTTTGCGTGTATATATCTGGTAGTCTGAACAACTAATTTGAAGACAACACTATGTAATACAACAAATACTCAAATTCATATTTTGTTCAGTGAAATTCTGTATCATTTGTAATATTTTCTGTTTTAATAATATTTTTCCTCTCTTTAAAAATAAAAAATAAATTTATTTTAAAACAAAATTTATTTGGAAAGGCAGTTTATTATGGCTTAATATTCTGGCAATAAATATTATCAGAAGATAGAAAAATGTCCAACATTTTAACAGGTATACTCAGCATAGGCAGTCTAATGAGTCTTGGTTTGAGTTCAATCAGGACTCCAGAGGGAAGTTTCCAAAATGTGACTAAGTATTTGTGCTTTTATAAAGTTGGCGGTTAAATCTGTAGAAATACTGGTGAGTTCTGGAAAGAAAAAAGCAATTTTTATTTGAGATTTTTATTTGTACCACACTTAGCTTAAAGCAATTTTCTTTTATGATTATTGTAGATTTATTTATAAAGATGATAGTCTAGAATGGAACAAAAAGTTAAGAAGTTGCTGATACTCATTTTCTCTCTGCCAGTAAAATTTTAGAAAAGTTAACCATAGATTGATATGAAGCTTAAATTATAATTAAGCTTGAGAAGATTTGTTAATCACTTGAATTTTGAAGGAAATATTATCATGTATACCTTATAGTACACTTTGATTATATATCTATTCCAGCTCTTCTATTTGTGTGACTTTGGAAAAGTTAATTTTTCAGTGTCAAATTTGTCTTTGAAGGGAGATAACAATGGTGCCCAACTCTGAGTGTTGTCACGACTGCCTATAAATCATTTAGTGCCATGTGTAGTATATAATAAACATCTGATAGACATTACTGCCTTATGTATGTGTGTTGATTCAAAAATCATAGAAATTGAGGACAAAGAATGGATGAAACAAAAATAAAATTAATCATCATCTATGGGAGAAGACACCATTACTAAGAGGAATGGAGTCACTGGAAGGTCAAACTAAGATTGTTTTTTAAACTTGGGTTCTTGGTAATGGTGGAAACTATATTCAGGGCCTTCAAAGAGCTACACCCTCAGATCTTTTTATTTACTTCTTCTTCTTTTTTTTTTTTTTTTGGAGACAGGGTGTCACTAAGTCACTAAGCTGCCCAGGCTGGGTTTGAACTTGTGATCCTTCTGCATCAGTCTCTTGAGAACTGAAAATGCAGGTGTGTACCACCACATCTGGCTTAAAGTAGTTTTCTTTTATGATTATTGTAGATCAGAATTTGTGAACCTTACAATATTCACAACTTAGGTCAATACTATTCTGTTTTGTGGGAATTGTCTTATGCATTTTTAGTGTGCTCAGCAACCTCTTGGGCTTCTACCTGAAGTATCCCTCCCCAGCCCAATGTTTTGCAGTTCTATATACTCTCGGTGTGACCCTCAATGACCAACCTAAGGTGCAAGTTCTAAGCCTAGCACTCCCAGAGCCTTTCTCCCTGGCCAGTGGGCTTCCCTGGACCTGGGCATCATGTACACCAGGGACCCTGTCGGTACATGCTAGGTACCAAAAGGTGTATTCTCAGTCTGAGAGTAAGAGGCTCAATAAAACTCCTCTTATTAAGACAGCAAACCAAACTGAGATAGCTAGGTATTGTGGGTGTGAGTGGGACTGAGTGAAATAGTGCTAGTGGAGGTCTGCTTCTTGGTGTCTCCTTTCCTTTGGGCCAATTTCTTTGGTTAGATGAATGACTACAGATGATACCACTAGAGTCAAAGAAACTGTTACAGCCTACTCCAAGCAAATAAGGCAGATCAGGGCAGTTTTCTCTTTTGTTATATAAATAGTCACATAATATTCTCAATTCTTCTTGATCCACAAAGCCCAAGATATTTATTGTCATGTCTCTTAAAAAAAATGGATTCCTGATTTAAATAGGCACTTACCACTAAATATAGACAAATGTGTTGAGTGCTTTGTGTTTATTTTTTTTCCTTTTTTGGGATTATACACCATCTTTATGGATAAAGAAGTTATATAGTAGAAAATAAACATTTGAAAATACTTTGCAAAATGAGTACCTCTTGTTCCTATACTTGGTTTAGGAACTGTTACTAAAACATCTAAAAGGTCAATTTTCAATTTCTTACTTAATAAGAGAGACTTTAGTAATTAATTTCTATTTGTGGCCTACTGCCTGCTTAGAAACCTTCAAAGATTTCCCAAATGCTCATAGGATTAATGGCACTCCCTGGAAAGATCCTTTACTATGTAGGCCCAGTTAACTCCCTGAATTCACAGACAGTCTGTATTCCTTTCTGTCTGTAGCCTCCGAGTCTCAATCACCTGTGACTAGCATCAGGCTATTCCTTCCCAGATGTATTCTCAAGAAGACATAGGCTATAGACCAGCAGGGAGGAGCCTATGGCACAAGTGCCACAGTGGACACAAAGGGTCCTCCTCTCTGTTAGTCTGTGAGCCAAGTCACCTCAGTATCACAGGTTTAAACATTCAGGTTTAACTGCAGTGTTGGCACTTTGTGATAAATGAGTGGGTCACAGTTTGGGCACTTGGTCTCTAAAAAGTTCCCCATCACCACTATAGACTATTAAATTGTTCCATGGGTACTTTTTCCTTCATGTGGACTGTTATTCCCCATCTTCTTCACCCAGTGGGCACTTACTTTAAGATCTGAATCAAACATCATCCACCCAGCCCACACTTGTATTCCTAAACCAAAAGTAAGTACTGTACTACAATGTGGTAGGTATTCCTGTGTCTGCCTGTCCTGATAGAGAATGAGTGCAAGGAATGCAGGGACTTCATATTTGGATCTTAGTCTCCACTAGGGAGTGCCTAATATAATCTAGTATAATGCCTGCCACTTGCTAGAATTCAATAAATAACTGGTCAATTAATTCTGTGAAGGGTACCATGTGGCTCTTCCTGTCAAAAAGATAATTCTTCTGGTCTGCTGAAGAATCTATTCCTCCTTCCTTGGCAAAAATTCTGTCCTCTTTAGTTATCCTTTTAGAGAATAAAGACTACAATGCTTTATTTTTTTACAATGTTTTCTGATGACAAAATGCGCATCTTTTTGTTGTTGTTCATGTTAATGTTATTCCTGGCACTTAGTAAGTGTTCAAGTCTAAGAATTGTATGGAGAATTATTTGAATCATATAAATTACCTAAAGAATAGGGTTAAGGGGGATGACATGTAACAATAACACTGGAATTAGGGTTTGTTAGTGTTTTACTTTCCACCTCTCTTTTTGGTGCTGGGAATTGAACCTCAGGTTTTGAGCAATCTAGGTATGCCACTAAGGCATGCTCCCTCTGAACATTTTCTACTTTTCAAAATTGAAAAAACACTGAGTAACTGAATATTTTTCATGTTAGAATATAAATGTTCTGGGGGGCCAGGGAGATGGCTCAGTGGAATAAGCGCTTCCCTGGCAAGCACAAAGGCCTGAGTTCAATCCCTGGTTCCACCAAAAAA